CCAATCAGCTGCAAGGTATTCTTCCTTAAACCATTGGGCTATATCCAACTCGCCAAGTTCGATCCAATTTTCGATCACTAAAGTGCATAGAGCTCTGAATTGTCCCGGGCATCGAGACTTTTGTAGGCAGTTGACCTGGTTGCGAACATTGACTTCGTTTTTGGTCCTGTCGTTCAGAAGTGCCATTTTTTTTCGTAAGGTTGGTACTAAGATGAGGCCAACAGCTTAGCAGAACGTTATTTGGCCAGTTCATTTTGTAACCGCTATATCCAATGCAGTGCTTACTTGCCCTCCTTCCGTAGACGCGCTAGCAGGGCGGCAAGATAGCCTGCGTCCTTCCCGTTAGACTTGACTTTTGCAGCGTGCATAGCTTGGATAATTACAACACCACACTATAGCTACTAGGACGGAAAGAGTGCTTTAGCAAACCTCTCGCACGAGTCGTACCCAAGTCCAAGAATGCGATCAAAAAAGAATCAATAGAGTTTTTGCAAGTCTTCCCATTCCCGCACACAACTAAATAATATTCAAGAGGTTTCAGTCTGTGGGAATGAAAAAGCTTCCCATAAAACTGGCCAATGTACATAAAACAACGTTTTCTCCCATAGATTTGAAGCCTTGCTTTGATTTGCTGCTGCAAAATTTTGTGCATATGTGTGGGAATAGGACTGAGAAAGCTATGAAAACACTTTAATAAATAAAAACACGCTACATTAAACAAACTACTGCTGGTTCGACTGCTTCTAGTACTATTGTCCGCTGATATGAAAAAGCATTTTACAAAGCTGTTTATCAAAGAACGGGACACAAACTGTACTACCGGAGTCATGTAAACTAATCCAACGATTTACTACGTAGTAATAAGCAAGATCAGCACAGTAACAGAATGCTGTCGTGGCAGGACAGAGAATGTAATAAAACAAACTCAGAAGTTTATCGTCTAACTTAGAGTATGTTGGAAATCAGCTCTATTCATAGTTCCACCAGTACATACCGGTGAATATTCGAACAAATAGATCCGGTTCTAGAAGTGCATTTTACAAAAAA